CAGAAGAATCTCCAGACACATCCTTAAACCTAACTCAATGAACCACATTTCCAATGTTTAGTCTATCTTACTACTGTTGCTACTAGATTATTTCTGACTTATAAAATCGAATGTACGCTCATTTGTGTCCGTCTAATCAAATGTGGTGAATTACTATTAAATGTACATGGCTTATTAATTGGGCGAAATGCATGATTATTGATGTACTCAACGATTCAACTGAAAGCAATAAAGTTTAAAGATTGCATTTACTCAAGATCAAACTCAAGTGACATGTGATGAATATTATTTTGGTGTTAGACACAAAAGGATAAAATATTTGACGGTTTTCAATCACTTCATCGATTAAAACTTACGCTTCGAATTACTGATGTTATACTAACGCTTTTTAATTGCTTTTTAATATTCTCTTCGTCCATTGTCAAGGTATGACTGCGATTGGCACAGAGTTCCAGCATAACGATATCCGGGTGGGTCTGTTCCATAACCTAACAAATATTATTTAGATCAACTATTACCTTTTTGACGTCAGCGATACTTTCCTCACTGAAATGTGCAGTTCCGATCAAATATACCTTACATTGATTATCACAGTCAATAATGCTGACTGTTTCTGGAAGTTCAAAAGGTTTTTTCCTTTGATTTCGTACCCATTCAATATGGCTCATTAACAACGATTTTGAGTCAACACACTCGTCGATTAACAAACTGTCTGTTTCACTCTCACAGTCTGTGCCATCCTCGACCGGATTATCTTCCATCCGCGTGAATTTGAGTAACGCAGGTGTCCTACAACCCGGGCACGTGTCCAGTTATCAGCAACAAGGACAGGAGGACAGTACAATATCCAATATCTTTGCACTAGTATCTTGTTGTCTCAGTACGAACATAAGTATATGTTCGTGTAAAATGAGTATCATGTAATGTTTAACATGAACTTATTTTGTAAACAGCACATTTTATATTTCATATTTTTCGTTATTTCACTTCAAATATGCTCTCCCTGTTATTGAGTGTGAAATAGTTATTTAAATTTTACCTTGGTTTGAACTTGCGTGACACATCTGTTACTGCTGCTCGAACACTCCTGGTGTTCACTTGATCAGCTATCATGAGAAAAGATCTCTAATATATCTGTTATCTACCTTTATAGATCATAATTATCTGTTCATTATTCGGTTATCTTTGGTATACATCATTTGGATTACCCGTATAGTGTGGGCGGAGCATTATTTAAATCCACCAAGAAGACCTCTTGGGCTACTGCCGGTCTGAAACCCAGAGAAAGGAGAAGGGTTGGGCATGAGGTTAGCCACCTCAACCAGAAAAACAGTAACTCACTAACAAACGGTTAGCAGGGAAAATAATTCAATACCTTTGAACTCTTGCTTGGGAGTTAGATGGTCTTTATTGAAAATAATGATTAATTCTGAGTTCCTTCGGAAGTCAAGAGGCCGATGCATATTCTAACAACCCCACCAACCATTAATTTAGATACATAGATTGTATAATGTCAGAGACCGGGAGAGTGATCATAATTACTTCAGAAATGGAAGGAAACAGCCTGGAGGTGCGTGGGATTAGTGGGTCATATCGAATGCAGGTTGGACAACAAAGAGTAACTTCAGAAGACCTGTTGTTATTCTCCAGCCATTTTGGGGAAAATGCCTCACATACACGAGGAGTTTCACTGGTGCTGTTTAAAGAAGCACAAAAAGCAATGATGGGATGGAAATCTCATGGACCCACGATCATTAAAGCCTCCTCATAATCAGAGAAAGACGACATTACAATGAACATCATCTAGTGTTGGGTACTTGACAACGTAAAAATGCGGATATTAAACATATATGCTACTGCAAGCTTTAGTCAATCGTTGAGAAACGCCCAACTAAGGACTTAAATATTTTGATGTGAAACCTGGAATCGAAGGTTGGAATGGATAATCGTGAATACGAAGACATCATGAGACGACATGGACTGGGAGAAAGGAACGAAAATGGTGACAGATTTGCAGACCTACGTGCCTTGAACGAGCTGGTCATCGATGGCACAACATTCCCACATAAACGCATACAGAAAGCCACATGGATTTCACCGGATCACAACACAGAGAGAAATCAACTATCACCATTTGCTGGTCGCTAAGTTGTAACTGAAACTGAAGGAGCACTAGACAGCACATTCTCTTCAACAAGATTTGTGATGAAGAGCACGTACCAACAGACTGGGCAGAACGACACCTCATCAAGATACCAAAGAAAGGCTATCTCAGTAAGTGTGAGAACTACAGAGGCATCACTCTTTTCTTATTAACAGCACTAGTCTTCGATGGAGGTTTCTTGAAATGAATGAAGGATTCACTAGACACCTAAGACGGAAATCAGCATGCTGGATCCCGAAAGGATCGATCATGTACAGGCCGATTCGTGACACTAAGGATTATTGTGGAGCAACCAATTCAGTGAGATTTACCACCCTACATCAACCTCATTTACTATCAGAAACCATTTGACAGAGTGGACAGAACAACACCATGGAGGCTTCTTGGGCACTGTTGTGTCTGAGAACATACTCAACGTCATGTGGAGTTCTTATGATGGATTACAATGTAGGAACGTACACGAAGGACAGCTCGCAGTTTCGTTCGAGGTAAAGATTGGCTTTAGGCAAGGTTGTTTACTCTCACCCTTCGTCTTTCGCCTGGTGACCGATTAAACCACAAAGACGTCAACATCTGAGGGAAAGCACGGATTACAGTGAAAAACTAGTATACGACTGAAAAATTTGGACTTCACAGATGATCTGGATCTTCCATTCCACACACAACAACTGATATGGAAGAAGACGACCAGTGTAGCAGCTGGCTCTGCAGCAGCAGGTCGCGCCATACGAAGGAGAAAAAGCAAGATATTCCGCATCAACACAACATGCACCAACTGAATCACACTTGACGGAGAAGTTTTGGACGATGGAATAATATTTAAGCATATTAGGCGCATCACTGATGAGTGAGGTGGATCTGATGCAAATGCGAAGGCATGGGTTAGTAAAACGGGAGCAATATTTCTACCTCTGGAACTCAGAACAACTATCAACCAACACCCAAGTCACAGTTTCCAACACAAATGTCAAGACATTTCAGTTGTATGTGGCGTAAACTTGTTGAACTACAGAAGCCATCATCAAGGTGTTACAAGGGCTAATTATTAGCTCTCAGATACTATCCTCAACAACCTACTATGGGACGGTGCAAACAAGATTCCAGCAGGGGTATAAATCAGGAAGAAGTACTAAAAGTGAGGAACGCAAACAATTACGTCACAAGACATGCCCGCGCTTGGAATCTTCAAGGCCGAAGGAAAAAAGGAAAACCAAAAACATATTACAGCGAGAAATGGAGATAGATCCAATAAAAATGAAAGGCAAATGGGTAGAACTAGACGGGAAGGCTGGGGGCAGAGTAAGTTATACAATGCTGGTCAGCGACCTCTGCACCATTGAGGGTAACAAGCGTAATTAAGCAAGTAAGCGGAGTTAGTTATTGTTATATAGTTGTGGCTCTCAAGGTCTAAAAAGCTAGATCGAAGTAACGTCCCATATTATTACATTTGTGTGTCATTTGTTGTTCTATATTCTTTTGTAAACAACTGTCACCGTTTGAATATTGAGTGATTGTCGGTCAGCCACAGTGTGAACATTTACGAGCTAGTTGATAGTTATTTATAAATTTGTGAACTGCAGCGAGAGTTTACCTCAGGGTAGTAGTGTTCCCGAATACCAGCAGCGATCATGATACCTAGAAAGTGATCAGCTAGTTCAAAATTGAAATATAATAACGATAAAATGCAAATTCCAAGTGGTGGTTGAATGCTTTGGAAAATAAGTAATGTAAGTTAATTGGTCGTTAGTGCGCCTAGTGTGGAAGGAATAAAGTGTCAGAATAAAAAGGGCGAAATTGATGATAATTGACGAGATTAAATGAGGCAGCGTTTAGATCTAATGGTGCTGACATTACATACTTTACACATAAATTTTTGTTGTTTCGCAATGGATCTCCAGAATCGGAAATCGGCCAAACGACTATCGAAAGAAAAGAAGTTAGGGATAATTCATAGTTTGAGAGAATAAAATATCTGGTGAATAAACAAGATAAAGAATTGGATCCAGATAAATATAGCGTCTTTATTTGCATGAATTGAAGCTGATGGACATCTACGTTGTTTAAGCAAAATAAATTTACAAGTGGTCGACATGTTCACAAAACTTTTATCACCGAAGTTTTGAATGCTACGAAAATTTACTGATGAAATCGAATGGCCAATTATGGTTATATTTGACTAACTATTTGCATAGGTCAGGCTAATTAGCTGAACTGGACTACTAAATAAATTTAAATGAGATAACGAACTAATGATATAATTTTTTAACATATGTAGCGACCACAAAAGGATGTTGTGGTAAGCATGATATTTGGTAACAGGCTGCATTTCATTAGTTTGCCTCACCAGTGCAGGGTTTAGATCTGAGTCAATTAATAGCACACATACATGCTAGTAGAATGACTGACATTTCCTATTATCGTCACTATCAAAACTATGAGTATCTACGTGGAAGACACAATTGTCTATACTGAGTAATTTTATTCTGACAGTCTGCAATATACTTTTTAGTACTTCAGAAGAGCATATTTGGACTGGAACTTGGATATTTTACTTAATATGTAAGGAAAGAGATTACAAAGGGAAACGACACCTGTATGATCGAGCCATTTCATCTTGATTAGGTGTTCCTCTGTACACTAACTCTTCAAAGGTTCGGCGGCCAGTGTGGTTCTTTTCAGTTGCTCTATGTTGGTGATTAGAAACCATTAACCCCGCTCAGCAGCAGAGAAGTTTCGAGACATGCATCAGACACAGAAAATCCAAACAGAAGAATACGTCTTTGTAAAATCTTTTTTAGGAGCTATTAAGAGGGCTGTGGTCACTTGGGCTGACAGAGCATTCAAAGTTGGGACAACTCTTAATGAGAAACATTTGGCGTGTGCCTGAGTGTTCTCTCATAGATGTGTAGTTTTTCAAGGGTTACTTCAAGGGGTGTGTTGGTAATGTTTCATCAGTGCGTTCGTGTTAGAATGGTTCTGAGCAGTTAATATGTTGTTTAGCATTATTTGCTCACCTACGATACTCTTATAACTCAGCAAGAATAGTTTTAAGTTTTAACGTCTGTCTTCGTAAAATTTATTTGTTAACCTTATCATTAACTTAATTGTTTGTCTCTATCTGTCTTTTGGAGGATGGTGTTTGACAATATTGTAAACTTCAAATCGGTTCATTCAGTATAGCTCAAAGAGAGTTAAGAGCAAATCAGGTGTGATTACACCATGATGTCCTTGCATAAAATAAAGGGCCGAGATTGTTTTTGTCACACCTCCTATTAAGTTTGAACCGCTGTCAGCTCTCTGAGGTGGCTGAGAGAAGGCTTCCATGGAGGACGTAGGTCGCTTGTGTCATAGGTCACCGAACCTTCGTGAAAAGAAAGTTTCGGAAGAGCAAGAATTTTTTATTAGCGCCATCACAGTAATGTAAGACAGTGTCAGAAAATTATGATATACAGGTGTTGAACAGTAGTTGTTACGTAACGTGTGTTAGTTTTAATCCAACAATAATTGTTATTCACTGGGAGTTATTGAGAACAATGTGGTTTATTAATCTTCGTAAATCTATGCCATAACATCACTAACCAGCGACTCCTCAGTCTGCACTATACCTTTCCGGTTTGGAGATTATCCCACCTTTTTATTACCCTAAGGTAAAGGATAACCTCATAGCTCAACAGGTCAAAAATGCAGAATA